AATTCGGCCGCTACATAAAAGAATATATGAGCATGTAAATAATATTGTTAAGGGCTATGATAATCATAGTGTTTCGGCACATTTAAAAAAATATCACAATAGAGATCCTAGGGGCCTTGCATTCTTAGGAATAGAGATAGTTAAGAAATCATGGAGAGGAAGAAATCATGTTATCGATATAGGTAAAAAAGAAATGCAAATGGGTCCATAGGTTAAAAACTTTAGAACCTAGGGGGCTAAATATCGAATTTGATTTATTTAACTTTTTAGGCTAATATGGATGTATTTTTTATTTTATTTTTTATCTCTTTTTTAAGTAAAAATAGTCTTTTAATAAAATTGTCTCAAATGGAATATTATTGTTTTTTAAAATAGTTTTTTATCAGAAGGTGTTTTTTTACACTGTCATTTTAAATATGTTACTTTAAATATGTCTCTTTAAATATGTCTCTTTAAATATGTTTCTTGGTTAAATTAGGTGTTTTAGCATATTGATTTATGAATATATGTTTTATTATGATTACTATTATTTTTTAATTGAGATGTTTCTAAATAAAGTTGTGTTTTAAGTAAATCCCACGTATTTATAAGCTCAATAGACTCTTTAAATATGAGCTGATACCAGCAGTTGCAAGATTTCAAGAAGGACTTTTGACAGCTATTTAAACACACCCACTATGGTGTGTATATAAGAACTAAAAGGACATGGATGGGCAGACCTGATGAAGCCATGAATACGGTGAAACGCGTCATCACGCAATCACGCAAGTTACGCACCATACGTCACGCACCCTTGGAAACCCCTCCCCCCAGAAGTGAGAACGAGCAGCAGTGACGACGGCAACAGCGGCTAAGAACAGAGGGAACAGTCGACACTCCTATCTGTAAACAGTTGACTACTTTGCATCGCATACTGAATGTGGAGGAAGGTGAAATATTTGTGCAGTGCTGGGCAATAAATATATCTACTGAAATATAACGTCTGTGCAGTCCTTGATTTGAAGAAGCTGTTATAGTTCAAGCAGGCTTTCTCTGCTCTATCTTTGTGAGTGCAATATTTGTCATTTATAATTCATATATATTTTTTATAACAGATTTACACTATTTTTGTTTTTTTTCTGTGTTTCTCTTTTTTCATATGTACATTGCTATTTGAGAGGACAAAATATATGTATGTATACAATTTTATTTAAATGATACTATCATTATACACTTAGTGTGCACTTTGTATCACTTTGCACTTTATTACATTGTTTGCACTTGTGGCACTTTTTACAATTTGGTCTTAAAGACACAGCACACCTTATATTTTAAAATTTATGTATATGAGTGTTTGGGGGAGTTTTACACTTGCTTTTCGTGCAGCTTAATTTTACTATATTCTTAGTTATATTTATGGACAATTTTTACTAGCGCCTATTTTTTACTTGCCTTTGTGTGTAAATGCAGATCTGGATAGGACAGATCTGGAAAAAGATCTTCTAAATATGCATGACCCAGCTGCAAAAAAAAACTCTCTATCTAACACAGAAAAAGAAAAGCAAATAATAAACAAGGCTTTTTTAGAACAAGCATTTGATTGCCAACTGGAAAAATTCAAAGTGGAAATGAACAATATGACGAAAGAAATTAAAGAACAATAACAACTAGAAAAGCTACAATTTCTGGGGAAATTGTGTGAAGTGTTCTTGCCTCCACCTGTAGTCTACAACTGGAGTGGGCGGAGTAACTGTTAGCACATTCAATTGCAACGTTGTTGCACAGTTCCATTAAACCATACATTTATAAAAACATTAGCAGGTGTTCAAAAGGCCCTGTCTATGACATCACTTGCTGCTGCAGCCTTGACAGGTCAGAGTATTTTGGTGGTTGCCATCTTCAAGCGGTCATATTTTAAAAACTATAAATCCTACAGCGAAGAGCTTTATATTGTGAGAATCACAAGACCCAGACCTACATTTTGATGCATAGTATGTCTCTGAAGTATTAAAATTGAAGGCACAGTCACAGTTTAGAAATTACACTTCAAATTTGAGCTTTGCAGAGTGAAGTTTCAATGAAAGTCAATGGACGGCGTTAGTTGCAAACAAATGGTCATATTGTGAAAACTATCAGGACTACGGCTTAGCCGTTGACATGCTTAGTGGCAGCAGGGATAGCTGAACGTTTTGATATAAGATTTGTGAAGGTGGGCCTGAAAATAAGGGAGTGGTGGCAATTTAGAAATCATGTCCTGATTTTTCAGCTTTTGCCAGCTCCCACTCTAGCTTTGCCATTCATTCCTATGGGACAAATTTCGCCACAAGAACGACGATATTCCGTGAACCATTCGGCGAAACGTTCCACAAAGTAATAGCAATCCGATCGGGAACAATCTGCACGTTTTTGGTAAATTTTTGTCTATGTAGTGTAAAAACTGTGGGAGGAGTTAGAATTTGGCAAATTTGGCTATAATAAAAATATGTATATATATTGAGATAACAATAAGTGTTCTTGCAAGAACACTTAACTAGAAAGAAAAGCTACAATTTCTGGGGAAATTGTGTGATGTTCTTGCCTCCACCAGTAGTCTACAACTGGAATGGGCGGTAACTGTTATCATTTATATAGCACATTTAATTGCAACGTTGTTGCACAGTTACATTAAACCATACATTTATAAAACATTAGCAGGTGTTCAAAAGGCCCTGTCTATGACATCACTTGCTGCTGCAGCCTGGCACAGGTCAGAGTATTTTGGCGGTTGCCATCTTCAAACGGTCGTATTTTAAAAACTATAAATCCTACAGCGAAGAGCTTTATATTGTGAATCACAAGACCCAGACCTACATTTTGATGCATAGTATGTCTCTGAAGTATTAAAAATGAAGGCACAGTCGCAGTTTAGAAATTG